AGGTTAACTTAATCTGTGTTGGGACAACATGAATGAATAGTGGGGAACCCTGCATTTTTTTGTGTATGGTTTTTGTACCCCAAAAAATAACTAAATAAATAAATTTTTAGTCGTTTTTAGTATTTTTAGTCGTTTGATATGCAATGACACACACACACTCATCGGGGTCTGATAATATGAAGAGATTTAGCCATCCTTACAGTGCACATTAACTGCCCTGAGTGCATAAACAGCACACGTTCATTTTGGGGTGAATCTCTCCATAACACAATTGCAGGTTTATTGATCTACTGAGTGTGTTATACAGTCAGTGTGTGTGTGTGTGTGTGTGTGTTTGTGTGTTTGGGAGTTGTATTGAAGGCTTTGTAATGATGTCTGCAGCTCATCGATTCTCAACGGGTCTTGGAGATAGAATAAATAAATAAATATTTGAGGGTTATTTAATAAAGTTTAAAAGAACAATTTTAACATAATAAAAACATTTTGTAATTATCTAAAAGGTATTTACCAACACTTTGTTTGAATTAATTGCCCTGTATATATTAAAGACCAGCATATAACAATAACAGAGAAATCCAATGGTAGGAACACTGTTAAATAATTGAGAAGAGAACAAAAAAAGCAATAGCTGTTCAAGACAATAGAAAAAAAGACACCTTAGGCCAAGATGCTGCTCCATATCGGTTTTTGTGAATCTTTCATATGTGAAAGACCAGATTACTGGAGCAGATTTGGTTCAATAGTCGTGGCTTTTGTGTTCAGAAATAAACCAGCTTGAGTGATGTTAGCCCTCGCCGAAAACTTCACAACAATCAAACTATAACCTTAAAGAAAAAGTCATTTTCCATGTTTGGGGCTCTCGTTACATAACCTTCTGTTTGAGGGGGAAAAAAATCTATAACAAAAGTCAAGCAAAAATAAGGGATGTTTGAAAGTACATCTCGTCTTAATGGACTAGTCAGTGGGTTGTGAAAGGCTAGTTGGTTTCGCAGAAGTCTGCTGTAATTAGGCTGATTCATGTCCACACATTATGACAGATTCTTATGTTCAATAACAGCTCACTGAAGCACAACAAAGATGAAGAGAAGAGGTCTCAAGATGTGTTAAGAATAAGTTTGTGCCAATAGAGCTGTCCGTTATCTGCACAAAACTATAAAGATTCACACAAAATACCAACACCAACAGATTATACACAACAGATGGCAACTGCAGAAGTTCAGCTGTAATTGTCTTCAAATGCTTTGCTGAAAATGGTGAATCTGTCACACAAGAGGGGTTTGCGGTGACTACAGAATGGATTAAAGAGCTTGAATTTAGGAAGAGAACTTCAGTTCACTAGAAGTCACAAAATACAAATATAATATGATAATTTTTCTATTATGAAATTAATTAAATCATTAATAAATAGTCCATTTATTTATAGTTACTGTACACACAAAAAGCGTATCTAAAAATATAAATATGTAGTTAATATCTGCATATTAATGTTAAAAAACAAATGAAAGAAAAGAAAAACAATAGACAGATTGTTAACAAGATAGACAGATCAGGACAATAGAAGGGAGGAGGGAAGGACGGAAAGACAAAACGTTAGAAGGAAGAACAGACAAAACATTAGAAGGAAGAACAGACAGACAGATAAAATGTTAGAGGGAAGGAGAGACAGACAGATGGACAAAACATTAGAAGGACGGACAGATGGATTGATAAAACGTTAAAAGGAAGGACAGACAGACAGATGGACAAAACATTAGAAGGATGGACGGATGGATAAAACGTTAGAAGGAAGGATGGACGGATGGATAAAACATTAGAAGGAAGGATGAACGGATGGATAAAACGTTAGAAATAAGGATGGATGGATGGATAAAATGTTGGAAGGAAGGATGGACAAACTGATAAAACGTTAGAAGGAAGGACAGACAGACAGATGGACAAAATATTAGAAGGACGGACGGAGAAGACATTAGAAGGAAGGATGGAAAAACTGATAAAACGTTAGAAAGACTGACGGATGGATAAAACGCTTGCAGGACGGACGGATGGATAAAACTTTAGAAGAAAGAACTGACAGACAGATAAAACTTTAGCAGGAAGGACGGATTGATATAACCTCTAATATATTTATTTATATATTATCTATTTGTTTATAGTTATTACAGTACACAAAAACTATTAACTAAAAAAATACACATATGCAGTTAATAGTTTATCTGTCCATATTTACTTTAAGAAAAAAAAATCAGAAAAATAACAAAAGACAGATTGTTAGCAAGAATGACAGACAGGACAATAGAAGAAAGGAAGGAAGGACAGACAAAATATAAGGAAGGTCAGACAGATGGATAAAACGTTAGAAGAAAAAAATGGATGGAAAGATGGACGGACAGACGGACAAAACGTTCGAAAGAAGGACGGTCAGATAGATAAAACGTTGGAAGGAAGGACGGACAGACGGATAAAACGTTAGAAGGAAGGACGGACATAAAATGCTAGAAGGATGGATGGACAGACAGATAAAATGTTTGAAGGATGGACGGATGGATAAAACATTAGAAGGATGGACGAACAGAGAAAATGTTGGACGGTCGGACGGACGGACGGATAAAACGTTAGAAGGAAGGACGAATGGACGGACGGACTGATGGATAAAACGTTAGAAGGATGGACAAACTGATAAAACGTTAGAAGGACTGACAGACGGATAAAACGGTAGCAGGAAGGACGAATGGAAAAAATGTTGAAAGGAAGGATGGATGAATAAAATGTTAGAAGGACGAACGGATGAATAAAAGGATAGAAGGAAGGATGGATGGATGAATAAAATAATGGATGGATGCACAGACAGACGGATGGACAAAACGATGGATGGACAAAGTAAAACGATGGACGGACGGACGAACCAACAGATAGATAGATAGATAGATAGATAGATAGATAGATAGATAGATAGATAGATAGATAGATAGATAGATAGATAGATAGATAGATAGATAGATAGATAGATAGATAGATAGATAGATAGATATTAAAACCAATTAGTAAAAGGATGGATGGATGGATGGATGGATGGATGGATGGATGGATGGATGGATGGATGGATCAAAAGACAGTCAGACAAAGACAGAACACAAACAGAATGCAGGAAACTGATAATCTGAGAAAGCACACAGTCTCTCACACACTCCTGAGTTTCTAGAGGACAATGCGCGCGCACACGCACACTAACACACACACACACACACACACACACACACACACACACACACACACACACACACACACACACACACACACACACACACACACACACACACACACACACACACACTTCACTGCACTAAAAAAAAGGCAGTTTGGCACAGCGGCCTCGGAGGGAAGCTGCAAGTGTTTGTCAGGGTGATGATGCTGAATCACAGGCCAGACAGCGTCTCTTTTTCTATTAGTTATCTGAGAGATGCTGAACTCCAGGGAAGCGGACGGATGACGCAGCTTCACTCCCATCATTCTCCCTGTGTGTGCTCGCTCCGAGAACACACCAGATTAAGAGACGCAATTAACCATCAAAGACAAACAAGTCACGGGCTAAGACAACACTCGTGAGATTGCTCCATAAATTTCACCGCAAACAAGCCGAGCAGTTTAGCGAGGGATGCTAATTCGCTATATTCGGCCCGGCAGATGAAGGATGCTGCAGCTGTGCCCTTTTGTGGTTACATGACTGATTATTCTCACATTTATGTCAGATCATTTAAGCGTAGAAATGTAATCTACTAGCACGATTACATACAAGACACAGTTGCTAATGGCACATTTACGTTTAGTAGATGCGTTTGTTCAAGGCGACTTAAAAGTAAGGAGGAATTCATTGACACACTCAGATTTAATGGTATATTGGGTTGGAGTGTGATGAGTTGTGGCAGAGAAGAGGGGGTATTGGTTTTATTCACAGGGGTTCAGGTGATCTCAGAAAAGATTGGTTTATAGTTGTCAAAACTTACTTCAGTTAAACAAAGAGAAAACTAAAGTGATTGCATTTGGGAACAAAGATGAGGTTCTCAAGGTGAATGCGTACATTGGCTCTAAAGGTCAAACAATAAAAATTAAGGTCAAGAATCTTGACTGTGATTCTCGAGTCAGATCCGAATTTAAGTAGTCATGTCAAAGCAGTAATGAGCATACTATCATCTCAAAAACATCGCAAGAATTAGATGCTTTGTTTCTGGTGAGGACTTAGGCCCCGATTACACTATTGAGTTTTGGTTTTAAAACGGCGTTTTAGATCAAAAACGATCCGCATCCACACTAGCGTTTCACCTAGCGTCTCTGAACATATCTCCGTCCACACTACGCCACCTAAAAATGTATATCACCTGACCATTCGCGCACTCTGGGCAAGCGCGTTCTAATATAAACAGAAAGCATGTGTCTCGCTCGGCATTTGGTTATTGTTAGTCAACAAACGTCGGTTAAACATTAAACGCGATGGCAACGCGAGGTATTTTTGTGGAGAGACGACGAGGTCGAGTTGTTACTAAACCTAACAAATGAATAACTGCACAATGGCGCCTAAAACAGACAATAGTGCAAACAACGCTCCTATTTCTGTGCCCATGTTGTTGTTTACAGTACTGTCTTCCGGTAGCATTAAAGCCATGTGTTATAGTCATGTGATAGGGACTTGACGAATAAAGGAAGGATACACAATGACACAAATGCCCCAATCAGGTAGCGAATCTCAGCAGCCCCGCCTCCGTTTTCAGATATCTCCGTTTTTCCTCATCCACACTGAGACGGAGCAGCAGTGTTTCAGAATGAAAATGGCCTCTCCAGCGCTCTGTTTCCGGCGCTTGAGAGCTCCGGCGTAGTGTAAACGGATGGCGTAACCGTAGCAAAACTTATGCGTTTTAAAACTAAAACGCACTAGTGTAAACAGGGCCTTAGAGAAACTTGTTCATGCTTTTATCAGCATTAGAATGGATTACTGTAATGGACTCCACAATGGCCTTCCCAAAAAGACAGACAGTTGCGGCTCATCCAGAACGCTGCGGCCCGGATTCCACTTACTAGCATTGTGTATGAAATTTGCTTTATAAATAAACTTGCCTTGTCTTGTCATTTGAATAATACCATGCGCCATTTCATCAAGAAATAACATCCTAATTGTTTGTGTTTGCAGGAACCATGGTGAGCAAGGACGCTGGAAAATGCATGCTCACCAACTCTGAGTCAGACTCGGAGGCGACGGCGGTCTCTATGGCCCTGGAGGTCAAAGGCTCATCGGATGAAAACCGGCATGTTAGAAAGCGGAACAAAGCCCTTCAGGTGCGTTTCAAGGACATCTGTGAGGCACAGAATGAACAGGCAGCTGCTGCCCGGGGAGGAAAGCCGGTCTACAAAGTGGCATACCGCAAGTACATGACTGTCCCGGCTCGCAGATCAATCCCCAATGTCACCAAAAGCACTGGAGTGCAAACTTCACCAGATCTGAGGAAGCGCTACCAGACTTTTCCATTTGAGCGTAAGAAAGGACACACGGTCAAGCATGCTGCTGCGGTGGAGAGCTGCAAGGACCAGGATGACGGTTTTGTTATTGATGTCAAGAGGGCAAAGGCAACCGAAGCAGGTAGAGAATGTGTGCCCTCTCATAATGTGAGAAAAACTAGGGCATTAATGCACACTAACCAATGTGTTGCAACTATTGAACAGCATCCGCAACGCAGAGACTGTCCGGAAAGAGCGGACGGATGCTCAGACGCTTTGGTTCTTCCCTGCTCCACAGAAAGAACCACAGCGGACAATTCGGACTATCAGATCTGTAGCGTGAGAAGTAAACACAGTAAGGGCTTCCAGAGAAACTCTGAATCTCTTGATCGCTCAGGCAAGCTGCACTTGCTCAATTCTGAGGAGAGCACTGGGAATATTCTCCAGGATTCATCCTCGAAAGTGACAGGACCCATCGCATGGAACTCCCTTACGCAGGTGGAGTGTTTGGAGAGTCCGTCCGAGCGCAGCAAACGCAAGGCGTTGCAGCTCAACGGCCTCCAGTCACAGACTTTGCCGCGGGCCAGTTGCACAACGCAGGTCCAGTGCCACACGGGAACGCTGTCAGCTCGCCCGCTGCGGGGCATGGACGAGGGACCGACAGTGACTTCCAAAGCCGTTCCAATGCCCGCACCTCCATGTAGGGGTGGCACGGGAACAGGAACCGTACAAACGGATAATGAGGCGTGCAAGCAGATAGTTCCTGTCAATCAGGATGGGGATGTTAAGGCACAGCTGCAGGCCATGGAAAATATGATCAGCTCCAGCCAGGAAACCATCAAAGTGCTGCTGGGTGTCATTCAGGAGCTGGAAAAGGGAGAAGCTCATAGAGAAGGGTAAGATGGTGGAAATTAACCAGCGTGCAAATGAGACCCTGGAAGACAAAACCAGTCATAAGCATCCACTTTTGGAAATTGAGATTTATGCAGTATCTGATAGAGGAATAATATGCTTTCTATTGGTGTATACATTGTTAGGACAGGACAATATTTGGCTCAAATACAACTATTTGAAAATCCAGAATCTAAGGTTTCCAAGAAAATCAAGCTTAAACTTCTCAGCAATGTGCAATACTAATCACAAAATGAGTTTTGACATATTTACAAAATTCCTCCATGGAACATGATCTTCAGTTAATACTCTAATGATTTTTAACTGAACCTCAAAATTGATAATTTTGAGCCATTCAATGTTCTCAAGGCTGATTTTGCATTCCAAGGTCACAATTGGTAAAAATGCTAATCGGTGCCTACAAAACACACATCTGACTTGAAGTGTGCTGAAGATGTCTACAAGCCACAATGCAGATTGTTCTAAACATTGAACTAAAGCAGTGGTTCTCAAAGTGGGGGTCGGGACCCCTTGAGGGGTCGCG